GAAAAGCATTAATGCAAGCTTTTAATAAGATGAAGAATTTAACAGTATGCTGTTATCTGGAGATGATATATTTTATATACAGGAGACATGTTTAATTAGCTCTCGAATAGGCAAAGGGGCTCGTGCAGAGCCATGGATCTACCTTCTCTGCTTCCCTTCTGTAATTAGAGACAGCAAATGCAAAGCACACATTAACTTTTCTGGTGGCTGAGCTGCCTTGTGTGGACCTTCATACACACTGCTGCTCAAATATAAATTAGCCCTTGTGAAGTATGCTCGATGGATAAATAAAAAGGAGAAAAAGGACTCCTTGAAGCTTCTCTGCTAGGTGCCCACAGCAGGGGAGGAGCCAGGAGCTGCATGACCTGCAAGCAGATCCGGTCCTGCAGGGAGGAGGACAACCCAAAGAGGTGGGTGAGATGCCCCTGATCCAAGGCCCTGCCTGCACTCTACAGAGCCACCTCTACAGCCAAATCTTTCTCACAATCATCTGGTGGGAATGCAGGGCTGTTCTATCCTTGTGAAGCCTTCATTTCCTCCTGTTCAGCCTGTTCCACAGGAATAATGTTCAGACACTCATCAGAAGGGAGGGATTCACCTCCTTCCTGCCTGGGGGATGCTCTGCAGCTAACAATGTGGGTGAAGGCAGCAACACTGTGAGAGCTGGAGCCCCCACTGATGGTCCTGTGCAGGTCATTACAAACACCACTTCAGCTGATACCATTTTTCCCCCAGCCCTCCTCTCTTCCTCTCCATGTGCTGCAGAACCAGGACATTTCACTCGTGCTGAGCAGTAGCCAAGGGCATCTTTGAAACCCTGTGAGCTTTTCTGCTCATCATGTCCAGCCCCTGCCAAGGCTTTGCTCCAGACCATGGCCCACCTTTCCCCAAAATGAAGCCCACGTGACTCAGAAGGTTGCAGGGGTGAGTGTGGTGCTAAATGACCCCACACTGCTTCTCCTGCCTTACTTTTTCCTGCCCAGGAGATGGTAGATACCCTTCCCAGATAAGGTGATGTTTCTTTGAGCCACATCCAGCCCAGACCTCAGGGTGCTCTGCTCCACCATGGGTGGGGTCACATCTGGCAGCTGGTGGCTCAGGGACTGGTTCACTTGGACCCCATAATAGGACAGCCAAGGTAAGCACTGCTTTGTAGTGATTTTTGTCTCTGGCTGTGACCTTTGTCTCTGAGGACAGCTGAAATACTCTGTGAGGGACTTCTTAAATGCCAAAATGCTTTGTATGGATTGGTGATAGCCAGCAAGTCTGTTTTAGAGGAGACACATTTATTAATGCACCACCATGTTATATCTATATAGAGAAAAGTCAGGAAAAATACTTTAGTCCTCTCATAATGATGATATATATGAGGCTAAATAGACAAATATGTTTTATAAATATAGTTTTATAGGCTATTAAGGCTTTTCTCCTGGCTGAAAAGATACAAGAAATCACCATAAACTAACTAAATTTAAATGGCTTCTGTTAAAAAAAAGTCTTCTCGCTATTAATAAGTTGTTGAATAACAGGCATTTAAAGAAAGGCATAACTCTGATATTAAATAGATAAATGTAAAATAATCTGTGTGCATTTAAATGTGAAGATCACATTAGGAGTAGAAAATTACAAAAATTTAAATACTGTAGGAGGTTGTTATGTAGGTAGTCTATAAAAAACAGGCAATTTGGAATTCCTCTAAAGAACATAAACCCTAGATAGAGCTGCTAGTTCCTTTGATAAAGACAGGTCTCAAGCTGAAGGTTTGATGTATAAAACCCCCAAAAGGTGTCTGAGCTATCTTTTTCTAAGGGATTATATAAGATAAAAGCTTGCACTGTAAGTCCCTATTTTAAGAAACAGAGTTGCTAGGAAGTTGCTAATACGAAAAGGCTAATTGTGCATGCAATGAAAGTACTGCTCCATTCACAAAATAAAGTGCTAACGTTTTAATAAGGGCTGGAAACTGTCTGCTCAGGAGCTGCTGCAGGGCGTATGTCACTCAGGGGCTGCTGCCTCCTCCCCCTGGCACCGGGGCTGCTCCTGTCCGGTTCCAGCACCAGGATGTGCCATGGACATCATGGAAGAGCTGCTGCCACTTACAGCAGTGCTGGGGAATAAGAGGAATATCCAGCTTTTGCACAGTTCAGTCTTCCCAAACTGTTCACATCTCAATTACCTACTTCTTTTATTCAGTTCACCATGTTTTCTTCCCCTTCCAGCTTCCAGTTTCTCCCCCAGAGTTCCAAACTTCCTGCATCAATTAGCTTGTTTGCCCTGAGATATTTTCTCTTTTGGATATCGGGACATGGCTGTCCAAGACCAGCACTTTTCTTGCTGAGGTTTTCAACCCTCAATTAATGTTTCATATCTTAAAATGGACTGCTCCCCTATCTGGTTGTGCCTTCCTCCTTCTGTGGACTAAGAGTGCAGATCTGGACTGCTAATTTAACTGGTGCCATTAATTGAATTTCTACAGCTTGTTGAAATTTGTGTAGACTTCAGAGGCTGAACCCAAAGCTGGTGTGAAATGTCATTCCTCCATTGAATTTGCTAATTTATGTAAGCTAGATCCAGAAGTGTTTTGTGGTGAGGCCCTGGCACAGGGTGCCCAGAAAAGCTCTGGCTGCCCCTTGATCCCTGGAAGTGTCCAAGGCCAGATTGGATGGGGCTTAGAGCAGCCTGGGACAGTGAAAGCTGCCCCTGCCTGTTGTAGGGGAGTGGAATGAGATGATCTTTAGGGTCTCTTCCAACCCAAAACATTCTGTGATTCTATGGTTTTAATACAGGATGAAGTTAAAAAAGAGCTGAGTCCAATTGGGGCAGCAGGAATCCTACACCCAGTACCACCACATGACCTCATGGCTCAGGGCAGATCCCTCTCTTCTCTTCTCCTCTTTTTGGGCTGATGAACACATCTGGGTGAGACCCTGAGTACCCACCCACAGCATTTTAAGGGCTCATTTTGATTACTGAGGTCTTTTATTCCTGGCAATGCAGCAGGTTATGGCTGTGTATAAGAACTTGTATTAGAACTAGGGAACACATTCTCAGCTGCTGTAAATCGTATCACTTCATTAATGTGGCTACTCTGGTGCTATCAGTGTAGCTGGGTTGATGTACAACAGCTGAAAATCAGGCCCCAGAGCTTCCTTTTATTAAAACATTCTTGATCTGTAAAATAAAGTTGCGAATAAGATGCTGGTGACAGAAGGGGATAGCCTGCTTTGTAGTACCTTGTTCACTAACATTTTAAGTGATTTGGAAATTCAGTTGATATTTTGCTTTTAAAATATTAGCTAAATCATTCTGTCAACACATATTTTTTAATACATATCCTTCCTGTCAGATTTTACACTTAATCTTGGATTCTGTAGACGGCTCAACAGCATCACTTTCTTCAGCGACTCCTGCACCAAGGTCTCCTTTCCTGTTATATTCTGCTTGCATCTGTTTAAACACAAGATATGAGATAAATGATAGTGCCAGGCTTAAACATACATCATCAGGACTCTGATGTGAGGCTCTGGAAGTGGCAGGCCAGATGGTGTAACACAAAACTCAGACATCACAGTTTGTCATGCCGTGCTCCAGTCCACCGCGCTAAAAATGGACTTTGCTGTGCACTTAGTCAATCATCTCTCTGGTGACCAGAAAGCAGGGGTCAAAACAAGAGGTGGCATCAAACAAAGGTTGTGGTCATGCTCGGCAGCTGTTCAGCCCTCCAAATCTGGCCGTCGTCCTTGCTAGCTGCAGAGATGGAGTTAATAGTGGCGGAAATATTCCAGATAATATCAGTCGATCTGAAACAACCACTCTAACTTTTTTATTGTTAACATAAAAGAAAACATGTTTATTAATTCTGCAGAACAAAGCCAAGAATGTAAGAACCTGTTTGGAATAATGCTGCATTAGGGAACAGTTTTTTTTGGAAGACACAAGGGATCAACACATAAATAAATTCCTGTGATGTTTCCTGTAAGGGAACTATGTAAATGCCATTCAAAGGAAAAAAAAAAAAAAAGGCAACTACCTTGCTATATTTATGTGAAAAGCATTCATCAGAGAGTAAGAGAGGAGAGGCAGAGCCAAAAGACACTAATTTGAATGAAAGTTGTTGGCATTAATTTTGATTTATGATATACAACCACATTTGAAATGTGGCCACACATTACAGTTTTTACATGCTGACCTCAAGACTATATTTAGAAGCCATCTTACTGCTGGGCAGGACTCAAGGTGGTATACAAGGAATTTCTAGGAACAAGTGTATTTCATGATCATTAATAATCAAACCACTTGTATTTGGAGGCTAATTCATCACTATGTTACTTCAGTTTTTGGGATGTGCAAGTTCAGTGAAACTTGAGAGTTCAATACTTTTCAAAGAACTTGAAAACCTCCAGTACAGGTGCTTTGCCCCAGTTGTGTATCAGTGCAAATCCTGGAATAATTCAGCAGTGAACCGAGCTTCTGGTGCTAGAGATGAGGAAAGCAAAGGAACCACAACTTGCATCAACAGAGCAAACGCCTTCCATCCCCACAGAATATGAAATGCTGCTCCTAGTTATTAGAAGAAAATTTGTTATATTACACAGGGCAGGTTTGTTTGTTAAACTCTTTCAGCTGGGGAAAAACACTGCATGGGAATTTGCTTTCATTTAACAAGGTAAGTTACTCCTTGCACTGCTACACTTTGCAGTAGAAGAGAAGGTTTCTTTGCTCATAAAATGCTCATCTCTGTGAGATTTTGCTTTATCAAGCAGCAACCTCAACATGTGTGTGAGGAGTGCAAAAGATTAAAATAAAACAAAGCCACATTAAAAAATATTTGCTTCGATCTACTATTCTTTCTAAATTTTCAAACTGCCCTGAGCACAGATAGGGCTGAGCAAGAGGTCAATGTACCTTTACAGCTTGTTTGGCAACATTTATCTATGCACTGTGAAACCCAGTTTAACCTGAAATGGGGTTACATCTATAAAACTTAAATGCTTTTCCAGGCTCCTGCTATCCCCACAGAGGTTACACTTGCTCAGCTGTGGATGTCCTTTGAACCAGGTAAAGGTGTCACGGGAGGAGCAAAGGTCTGTCCCATGTGGAAAAAAAGAAATCCAAACACAGAATTATCCCTGAGTACAAGTGAGTGGAATTGGTTTTAATTCTTTAGTTTACAAGGAACGGATCATTATTTGTTGCCTAGAAAGAAATTTTTGGAAGTGACTGTTGCTGATGCTGTTAACTTTTTGGAAGAGGCCAGAAAAAGTAGAATCAGCCTGTTTTGAAAGTGTAGAGTTAAGCTGAATTGTATTTATGGGAGCAAATCACCAAGAGCCCATTGGTATTTTATAGAGATTTGATTTGATAGGTTATTGATTTTGGCTTTGGGGGATATAGCCCCTGTTGAGAAAGTATCAAACTCACACTGAGTAAAATTGTCAAAAGCCTTAAAACCAGTAGTGAGGGACTGGCTGGCTCTCACTGCAGCACTTCAAATGGAGTGGGGAAGATATGCCTTATTGCCTCCAGACCTCTGGAAGCAGTTATGTGTATTAAATACTGGAATAACTCGATATTTTAAAAGCTTAAACGCTCATCCAAGTAAAATGGGTTTAGAAGACTGCTGGGAGTTTCATTATTTTATGGCTAAATCGATACCCAGATTTATGCCTTTTGGACATAGAAACTTGAATTTAATTGAGAAAATGGATCTAATGAGGATAGACATTTTTCATGCAGGTGCCCTTGTTTAAAAACACACATGCACACAGCTCTGTACCACATGAAAAAAAAACCAACTTAGTTTTAAAAGCTGAATAGACCCACCAGAGAGAGTGGCACACCCTGAAAACTGGGGAACGGGCAAAGAAACAGTAATACTTCTGAACTCCTGAGAATCCAAAGAATTTGTTGTTGTTCCTGGATAAAAAATTCATTAGTTAACACAGAAAAGAAAATTATTTTCCAACATGCCAGAAAAATTAACGGCCAGATGGCAGTAACCTGGCCATCAAAATCAGAACTACTACTGATTCAAAAGCAGCATCACTATTTCCTATTTGCCCACTCTCTGGCAAAAGGGTGATATTTATGGCACACTTTCCCTAATACAAGCTATTATCTATAGAGATGAAAATCAGAAGGAAGCTATATTCAATATATTTAGCTAAATTCTGCTCCCTGTATGGAACCAATTTTTTAAAAAAGCCCTAGACAAGAATGTATGCTTGTGCTTAATTTTATTCCTGTCTCCAAGACCAACTTTAGACCACATGCTTTGCCAAATCGAAATCAAAATGCAGAGTAACCCCACTGACTTCAGTGAAATAACTTGTGATTCTGTCCCATATATTTGTTTCAGTATATGTTTCATTGGCTATAATAAGCAGAAACTATTTATGACACAAATTTCCTGGACTTTAACAGGCACAATTAGCACTCTGAAGGGCAGAAGAAAATGCATAGGAAAAGCTTAAAAGTAAAGAAATGGAGATGGAGAAATCATTAACATCTCATTTCCTCTATACATGTGCTCACTCACACATACACACAAATGACTCTCCTTCGGGAATGTACACATCCTGAAAATCTAAATTACACGCTGAGAATAGGTTTGTGTTGCAATGTACTGCAAGAAATTTTCAAGTTTGTAGTTGGCAAGAAATTAGCATTTACTATATAGAGAGACAACATGATGGAGTATATTTTGCTCTTTATGCTAAACTTCCATTGATTGCCATGGGAATATTCTATGTGTGGAAAGGCGGCAGGAGCTGTGCCTTTAACAGTAAACAACAGTGATAGTCAGAGATGTTTCTGTCTGCACTGAAATGAAGTGCTAATAAAAAAAATCTGTGTTCTTATTGTTTAAAACCCACAGTCGATAGATTTTTATTTTCCCTACTGACTTGAAGAGTAAACTTCTATAAACAAAATGTGACGTGCCTATCTTATTAAATGTAATTTAAATGAGCGCTTGGTAAAAAAACCCAAGGAAGCCTTCAGTGGAAAGACTCGAGGATGGGGCTTGGAAAGTCTCAGGTGACACTACTTTTTCTATGTAATTTCAGGTGTACTCCTTGAGGTTTCTTGCAGAAATTTTGGGGAGCCAGGTTCACGTGAGGGGACACGTTGTGAGGGGGGCTCAGCACGGTGCCCACTGAGCTCTGTGGGTGTGGGTCCCCACACTTTGGTGGCCCATACCCAAACCAGGTTTGACCTGCAGAAACATGGGAGTGGTGCCTCCTCCCTTCCTTAACTCCGCTGCGTGCCAACCAATGTCTATTTTCCTTCCAACCAGCTGGGAATTTTAATGGCCATGAAGGGGATTGATGCTTAGGCTTCATGGGTGATGTGGTCCATGGTGTGCCCTCCACCCCGCTGAGTGGACTTTCCTTGGCAGCCAGGTTTATCCCTGTGGTTACTGGCAGATTTGGATAGAAGTATAAGCCCACACAGAGCACAAGACCGCAGCCTGCTGCAGCAAACCCCAAGGAGAGGTGCCAGTGTGACTTGGTGACCCTTGGGATCGCACTCCACGGTCCAGGCTGGCCTGAGCACCCACAAAAGTGCAGCTGCAGCTACCTCTGTAAATACCTCCCCAAAAAAAAAAATTCCAGAGTGAATAACTGCAGGCTGTGTGCTTTGTACCTATTACTGCTTGCTGCAGTGAGAGAAAATCCCCGGGAAGTCTTCCCTGTTTTATTCAGGTGAGCAGGTTTCTATTGGAGTTAATGGCACGGCTGTCGTGTACACTGAGCTGGATCTGCACAGGGTTTTGCCCCAAGTAATTTTACAGGCAAGTGCATCCCATGATGGGCTGATCAGATGTCCTGCACAACTGTACAGCTTTGTCCCATGACTCCTGTGTGAAGCCTGGCTGTTCCTAACTAATTCTGCAAGTGCTGTGTGCTCAGGAGGAATTAGCTGGTTTTAAAAATAGATTACTTCCTGTCACATCCCAGTATTTTTACTGAGTGTTTTTCGCACTAATTTTCTGTTTCTCACTGATACTGACATTTCTGAAGGTTTTTTTTTTTTTTTTTTTTTTTTTTTTGTTTTTGTTTTTTTGTTTTGTTTTTTTTTTTATAAACAGAATACTATTAGGGGGAAAAAAACAACCCTGGAAAAAAAAATCTGTAAGGATAGTGCCAAGGAGCTGTGAAGTACTGGAAGAATTAATGTTTTCCTGCATTGGTGCAGGTTCGAAATGGATCTAATTTTTCTGAAGTTTGTGTGAATCTGGAACACTCGGTGAAAGAAATCATTGTATTGGTTATTAAAAATCTTCCAGGTTGGTACTGCAAGGACCAGTTCAGCATCTCTTATCAGGGACAATTCTGGGGCAGAACACCATTGCCCAATGAAGGCTGGCCTCTACACAGAGGATACAGAGCCAGCCCAAATTCTAAACTTCTGCCATAACCTCACCTTTATGAACCCACTCACAGCAGTATTGGGGTGCAAACCATACACTGGAAAATAAAGGATATATTTTTGCCTGTTAGTGTCAGATTGTAATGGGATATTTGGAATGACTATGACAGCCCCATCCTCTCTCCCCTACAAAGAACACCCAGGCAAGGGCTATTCCTCTGGCCTCTCCTTAGAGAAGGAGGAGACTTTCAGCTTCATGATTAAATCTATCTAAACTGCTTAAAAAAAGAGTCTGCACTTTCATGCTAGATCAATATGCGTTAGGTTTTTGCCAAGCAATTTTTTTTTTCAGGCATGTTTTTTTGCTTTATTCTGTACATGAATAGCGTCCAGGTAAAATATTTTTAATTCATTTCAGGCTGAATTATTGGAAAAAAAGAGATTTTTTTTCCCCCCTTGTTGTTACTTGATTTAATTAGTGCTCTGTTTTCAAAGTGGCAAGCCAAGCTTTGCCAAGTCTGGATCTCTGACTCATGCTTAACAGGGTTTTATGGCCCCACCTGCATCTAAAGGAGGAAGAAAGCCCCAAAGCTTTATTTTTAACTCCATGTACATACCTAGTCCGTTCCATTAAAGCACACAAATGTCAGCACCCTCTGCCTGCCCAGTGCTGGTCTGGGGGGAGGAGTTGGAGCCCACCAAAAGCCACATTCTGAGAGATCTGTGGTTCAGCCCTGCTCCAGGCAGGGATGGGGCAGGCAGGGACCATCACTGATGTGCTGTGTTTGCTGTGGACACTGTGTAAGTGAGCCTGAGGGGGAGAGACCTTCTATTTTTGTCTGATTAGTTTTGTATTTTCCTCTTCTCTTACAGAAACATGCCCCCCTCCAGAAGCAGAGGACCATGTGGGCAGAGCTGGGGCTTCCTGCAGTGATGACCCAAAATCTCATTTACTTACCAATATCCATGTGAGAGCTGTGAATGAGAAAAGGTGCACCTGCAATTCTCATCTTTTTCCCTCCTCTTTTCCCTTTCCCAACCCAAATGCTCTTTTTCACTCCTGAACCATGTCCAGATGCTGATTGAGGCTGTTGAGGTGTGGATGAAGTCCTTTTCCCACCTCACTGCCCCTGAGGCAGGTCTCTCTCCTTTACCAGGAATTTGAGTGACTAAACCTTTAATCCCATTGGAAAAATGTTGTATTTAACATTGCTGAGGCTTTTTGCAGGATGGGGCCTATTTTGATTATTTTCTTCAGTTTGAAAAGGTTTGTGGTGAAAAAAGCTGTTTAAAAATGTGGAGCCTGTCCATGTTTTGACTGTTAAATTTTTCATTTTTCTTTGAAATGGTCTTTACTTTCTTATTTGGGCTAAAACCTGTAAAAATGTTTAAGGTAAAAAAAAATGAAGAAAAGGTTTCAAACTGACCAAAATTAGTGGTTTGTTTAACTCTTTTTTCCCCCAATGGTCAGCTCAGACATAATTTTTTTTAACAATCCCTTATTTCTTCATCCTGAACAGGGACAGAAGAAAAACCACTGTGAGGTCAAAGCCTGTGACAAGGTGGCAGAGCCCCAATTCCCCAGGCTGTGCCCAGAGCCACCCTCCTGTGAAGGTGTTGGGGTCTGCTCATCCAGAGGACCCCAAACCCCTGTGCAGGAGGGCAGGGGATGGGGAAGGATGCTCCAGGAGGTGGCTGATTCATCCCTCTTCCCTCTCTCAGGGCCAGGATACCCTGGCACAAGGTATTCTGCTCCCCCTCTGCTCTGCCTCATCCCTTTGGCCTGCAAGGGCCCCAATCCTGCTCTTCCCAACGCCGCTGGCAACCTCCCCACTGGCTTTGGCAGGAACAGGCCTTTTGCTGTTGATTTTTTTCCCCTGTCAATCAGTTAGTTTGACATCTAAATGTCAAATGACACCACATGGCATTTTTTTTTTCTCATTTCTTTTCTTTTCTCTTTTTTTTTTTTCTTTTTTTTTTTTTTTTGGTGCATGTAATTTAATTGCAAGTGCAAAATGGTGGGATCAGTGCGAAGGGTTTAGAGAGAAAGTATCATTAGCAAATTCAATTAGCTGGCACTTGTGCCTGCTGGCATGGAGGGCTCTGAGAGTGCCAGGGAGGCTGGTGCTGCACAGAGGGGGCCAGGGCAGCTCTCCCAGCCTTCCTGGCTCACCTTTTCTCCCTATCCCCCAGGGACAGGAGAGCCACCTCTCCTAAACAGCTCAGGAGAAGAGGCTGTACAGTCAAATTCTCCCTCTGCAATGATAATAACACAAGAGCCTGTCCTGCTTCCAGGAACTGTCTTACTGCACCAGCATTTCTTCAATTGTAGCATCTTTCCTGGAAATAGTGTTACATGACATGCCCTCGCTGCCTGTCTCAGTGTGAATGAGAATACAGCAAAGCTCATGTTTTCCATTGTTGAGATATGAGCATAAATCTCTCACTAATGCACTGCTGTCTTTTATTATAACAGTCACTGCAGCAGAGAAGGGTATGTCAAATCTCTCCTTGTTGGTACAGTCACTTGTTGGCATTGCCCTGACACGTTGTTTCTTTCCTTAAAATGGC